GTTCGTGGAGAAAAGTAACCTGTCGAGAGATCATGTAAACTAGGAACAGACTCGCTGTTGCCAACTTCAACAACCAGCGTTGGATATGGTTTCCCTTCTGAGTTAGATCCCTGGCCAGGTAGAGGTCTAGGACGTCCTCGTGGTCGGATGGTAAGATCAGCAGTATAGTAACTATTCGGTCCCACAATAAGATCCTCCTCTTGTACATTACGTAGTTGATTATTCCAGTTACTTGTCAAGTGTGCAATTCTGCCTACTACAAATCCATGGGACGTGAGAGCTACTTCGTAAGCTATAATTTTTCCTTCAAACGAATGCGAACAGGGAGCTTTCGCTCAATTTCACAATATTTGATGTAGGCTTCGAGTGACACATTTTCCTTGATAATTATTGGCTTCATATCCTCGTCCGCTTCCATTTTTCTTTTGGAATGCAAGTAAACGGTCCCTGGCTTGATTAAGGGACTCTTTGTTCAACCGAAGTAAAGTCGACTGCATATGGGAAGAAGTTGTAGCAGTTGAAACAGTAGAACTAAAGCAAGATATTTTAGAGAGTATTGTATGTTGGTGGTTTTGGGATTAAGGTAACTTGTCATTTCGTTCTAAAAAGAATCTGATACGTGATGTATGATTTATCATACGGTTACCTCATATAAAAAAATTTTCCGCTGTCACGACATCGATCGAGAAACTTTATACGTAATCATTAAACCAGAAAATTATCGACCAATCACATCTAGTAATTGTACCTGGTTAACTATTGGCAGTCATAAAATCCAATAACTGGTTATATAACTTATAAGTGTAAAAGGTTAATATAATCAATCATTTTATTTTTCTATATCTCGGTGGTTTTCTTTAAGGACTTCTGTAACACAAGATACTTGTTCTCCTTTTTTTAATATCTCCTTTCATGTTAAGAATCAGTGTAAATGCAATTAGACCCATACTACGTGATGTGATCTATGACAATTATTGATGAATGCGATACTGACATCCTGATCAAATTATGTTACAGCTGAGATGCCAAATTAATAAGAAACATTTGGAACATTTAGAGAACAGAAAATTTCAGATGGCGTTAGAAAATTTGTTATCTTATTTTCAGATTTGATTCTTAAATCAAAAATTTTGACACATAGTTCACAACTAGGATATGTTCCATAGGATTAAAGAGTTTTTCTGTAAAATAGTAAAGTGTTATTCGAAACATCGATATGTCTATTTGAGCTTGATGAGAAGGATGAGAAAGCATTGGTTTTATCAGGAGTGGATAAGCACAAAGAATTATCTACAACCAATACCATATAGAGGGTAAGTTCTCATATAAATTGGTGGATCTATATAAAAACTCATAAATGCACTACAATTATCGTTACCACAGTTGTGCGAATTCTTCACAATCTTCACCATAACAGAGCGAATTCCACCGAATAATCCATTTCGCATGAGCCCCTAGGGGTGAATACTGCTAGACATTAATAAAAATATTAATCAATATATCAGAAATAACCTGAAGCTCAAAGTGAAAGACATTGTAGTAAATAGAAGTGATCTGAGACATCAGTGAATTACGAAATTTACTTTTTGGTCATCAAGCAGATACTGTATGTGGTGAAATCAATCACAATAATCAATATAGCAATGACCACAATAATGATGTTAGTGTAATACCGGCTTGATCTAAATTATTCTAGGGAAATATATACTAAATAGAGAAAAATCACCGAACATATCATTACTTGTGAGAGTCACTCCACTACTAAAATATAAAAAATAAATTTGATCCAACTTTTTAATAGCTATAATATATTGAGAAAGAATGATACATGTAACTTATACAAAGTACATATATAGTTTAAATTTAAATTGTACAGTATTTGCTGTACGATGATCCTACTTTCAATGTACCAGCTGGACAAACTATCTACGTAGCATGACCCTGGATTCCTGATGAATTATAAGCTAATCGAAAACTACTCAATCACCTTGATGGTCACAGAAGTTATTTATATCGCATAGCGAGAAATGTTTCAGTAATCATGAGAAATCCTTAATGGTGTGGTGGTAATGATGGAGAGCATGAAAATATGATAGATGTGTTCAAGTTAATCATAAATATTTAATATATGCTATTTTTGATGTTAAATTTATATATAAACTATTTTTTAAAATCACTTTCTGATTAGGAATTATTACATTAGCTTTTTTTTTATTTTTTAATAATTTGATTTTTCAATGTATATTATCTTAAATTATTTGTTTAAATATGCAAATGATCTTTCATATTAGTATATTCTTTAGTTTAATTCTAATTTAATTAAATGTGTAAGTAGTTTTTTTATTTTTTGATAAATTAATAGCATAATTATTAAGTATGCATTATTTAATTAAATTTTAATTGTATATTTGAAAATTAAACTAATTATATGAAAAAAATAAGAACTATTGACTTGTAAATCTAAATATTTTATATTGAATTTAAGAAAATAATTATTGTATCCTATTTACATAATTATAAAGTTACTGAGAATTTGCTTTTCTTTTTTTCTTTTTTGTATTTGAAAAAAGATCATTAACCGCATAACAATTTTTTTTAAAAAAATCAGAGGCTCAAATATAATAAGTAAAAAATGTGTTTTTTTTATAGACATGAAATTTTTACTTCACTAAATAGTCTTTTATTAGGTATTGAAATTGCTAAAATAGCTGGATATTTTTATACCAAACAAGTCAAAACTAGAAAACAACTTTGATTACTTTTTTATTATATAAATGAACATTGATTAAAAGAAATTTTTAATATATTAATATAATCTAAGATTCTATTTATTTGAATATTTTTTGATTGAAACATAGAAACTATTAACTTGTTTGTAAATTACAATTGTTATTTAATATGTAGTATTTTTGTTTGATTAAATTGTTGTTTATAGGCTTCATATAATAAGTTATAAGTTCTAGATTTTAAAAATTCTAAAGTCAAACTTAATGTTTTGCATTAGGAATTCAATATGGTAACCTACATTTCTTATTTTTCTGCTATTTGCCAATAATATTTCATAGTATTAATTTTTATTTTTTCTTTTAGATTTGTACAATTTTAAGTAATATAAGATTGTTATAATTATATTTGTACAATTTTAAGTAATATAAGATTGTTATAATTAGATTTGTACAATTTTAAGTAATATAAGATTGTTATAATTCAGTTTTATTTATATTTATATATTATTTGTTTGATTTTTATTTAAAATCTGATCAAAAATGGTTTTTTCTATTTTATAAATTATTTGTTTTAATTAAAAATTATTAAAAACCATAAGACTATTAATTATTGTAATTACATTATAAATAATACTTATTATTATATATTTATTATCTCTTAATAATACAATTGTTTTTGCAAATAATTTGAAAAATTATAATAAGATTCATTATAGTTTTTTATTTAATATTATTAAGATTAATTTGTTTAATCTTATATATAGTATATTAAGTGAAAGCTACTACAATATGCAATATTTTATTGAATAATTAATTATTACTTTATATTTTACAGTTTTTTTTCATAGATTAATTCACTCAACATTTATATAATCTAATTATACAAACTAATATCAAATATAAACTGTATATCAATACATTAGATAAAATCACTAAAGGATGGAAGTTCTGCCTACAATTTAAATTACCTAATCTGGATAATTCAATTATATTGTGATTTGACCTTAAATTTTAAGTTTTAAATTATATTTAATTTTTTTTAATACATGTTAATTTTAGACAAACTCTCTTATTATATCTTGTCTTTGTTGATGTTTTTTTTTTATTGCAGGTTAAATTCTTTTATTAATTTTAATTATTTAACTTTTTTTCATTTTTTTTTTTAATTAATATTATATAATTTTGATCTTTTTTTTTTTATATAAACAAGTTCTTCTTTATTGCTAAATTGTTCTTTTATAAATATTTCTTTTATAGTAATATTTATTCATCATAACATATTATTATAATTAATATTGTAATTAAGTTGACAAAGATCTTTTAAGAAACAAAATTAAATAATATATCCAGTTTAATCACATTTATAACATATTCTAATATCCTTTTTAGGTATATATACTATACATGTTTTCTTATTACCATAAAAGAAAATTTGATCAACAATACGATTCTGAATTAAATATGATTTCCAATTACTTACTAATTGTTATTTAATAATACAAACATAATATGATTTTTGAAAAAATGTTTAAATTAAATATAAATACATGTATAGTCATGATTGTAAAGATGATCTGCAGGTTTTGATTCTATCAGAAGTTTAGAATCTTAATCCTATCCTTTAGGGAAATAATATATCACTCCATAAATCATATCTAGAGACTTCGATTATTAACAGATAAGTTGGATCAAGAAAATTTGTATTTTGCATATATTCTTGTATATGTAATGGTTCTTTGTAATTTAATAAATAAATGACATCAATCTGATTGCAGGATTAAAAATATATACAGTATATATATATATATATAAAATCAATTTCAATATTATAAAAATTTATTAACAAATAATGAAATTCAAGATCAAATAATTTATACAATTCAGATCTGTAGATCTATAGTACAGTGATTAGTATTCCATAGGTCAGATTACAAGATATTGGTTCAACTCCATATAAAGGTAGTTAAATAGAACCTATATAATTATACATGTGGCATAAATTATTTTGCTATTGACTCAATTCCCAAAATCCTCAAAAATAATTGCATTATGACTCAATTATTTATATGTTT